GGCTGAAAGTTTAGTGACTAAATAGACAATTCACTCTGAATATTGTTTTATTTCAAATTGTAAGGGAGAAATTATTACCCCAAGATTGAATAATTTTGAAACTGAACACCACAACAAACATAATTTTAACTTCATTTTCTTCCTTAAGCCAACGCATGAACAAATAGAAACAAATTCCACGGATCAATATCCATTGCCAAATATAAAAGTATACAGGGTGAGGATACATTACACATGCAGATGGTATAAATGAGGGTACAACTGATACTATATATCACATAAATCGTTTATTCATCTATTGTAATCACTTGTGATCATTACAATCAAAGCTTTGCTTGTTCTTGAAGTTGATCCTGCACAAACCAGTATCAATTCAGATAATGAACACCAAAGGGAAAGCGTAATAGAAAATGAAAACTGGGTCAGAATTAGCAAAAAGTAAACAAATGCGAATTTGCAAGTTGGACTTCAAAAATTGTGGATGTTGGATCATAAAATATTCGTCTTGACAATGAATTATGCACATAGCTTAAGACCTAATTTTTTTAGTACAAAAAAGAAAATAAATTTTAAAATCATGTGGCGCAAACAAAAAGAAGCTTAAATCCCGGGCCAATCATGTTTTATGAACCATTACATCTGAAGACTCTTTCAATTAGTTCATCGCCTTGAAGATAGATTGCAAGAATTAGTTCATCTTCTTAATCCTAAAGAAGATGAATATAAGTTTCTTTCTACTTCAGGCTATCTTTATACAAAGTTTCGCAAAGTTTTATGAGAAACTGGTTCTAATCTTATATTTTTAACCAAAAGAAAATACGAAATGAAACCAAGAAGAAATAAAAAGATAAACTAACCTCTGTAACGAAGAAAGCATGTAATCCGTATGGAACTCTCTTGGGCAATTCAACGACGGCAACAGGATCGCGTGACATCGTTTTCGCATCAATCACATTAACTGCTGACTTTCTACATGTAGAGGCAACACAAACGATATGTAAATCAGTTTAATTCAAGTCACACGTTGCATCACTTTTTAACCTTTATCCATGTAGAAAATAATACGAAGAAAAAATGAAAATGCATGCAGCTATAGTAATTTTGATCATCTATCTTATTACATTAGAGCAGTGTTTAAGGGTAACTCCCACGTTGGCTAAACATGAAAACAAAAGCCAACATATAAGAATTTGAGCTACTCCTCTTAACTATGTTAAGCTTTTAAGATATAATGTCAAATCTTAATGTGGTATCACAGCTGAACAAGCTCAAACGAGCAGTTCAGTCCGCCTAAAACTTAAGTGTATTGTCGAATTCAATAATTGGTAGGCTCGGATGAGCCACCATAATAAAATTAAGAAAGTTTCAAGTGTTGAATCACAAAATAGCCTAACATTTTTGTGGGACGCTTTTTCATTTTGAGAACAAATAACGGAAGTGAAGAAACAAAGTAATTTCCATATAAACACCAGATTCAAACCTTACTATATAATTATTGAAAAAAAAAATAAAACTTGTTCCAGAATAATCCCAAATACAACTTCCAAACATTTTATTGCCAAAAATTATCTTAATAAAGTTCATCGAAATAATGTTAAGCTGGGTTATGACCTGACAAATAATCTTAAATAGCTTGTAGGTATATATTATGCTGCTATTTGAGAAATTTCCATTTACATGTCAATGAGTTATCCACTACTGATGACTTGTGAACTTAACAAAATCAATACTAAAATTACTTAGTAGAATTTTGAAAAATATATCCAAGGCAGAA